TCAGGCCTGCCTCAAGTTCGACCATCACCTTGAACCAGTCTCGAAGTCTGTTGGGCACTCCCCGATACATGCAAGCTTGCCGTAGGTCGTGGTCTAGGCCGGCTCGAAAATAATGTACCAGCAACCGCTCCGGCCATGAAGAATGCAAACGGCCGGCTAACCTCTGGAAGTCCCGCACATATTCAATAGCCGGGCGCTTCCCTTGCTGTAGCGCTAGAAGGTCTGCCTTGGCTCTCTGTGCTCGGGTAGGATCTTCGAATCTCCCATGCAAAGCGTCCAAGAACAGCCCCGCACTCCCCAGCTCACGAGCATGTTCGCTATACAGGATGGCCGCCCATGCGGCCGCCTCTCCGCGCAGGGCAGCAGTAATTGCACCGACCATAGCCCATTGGGAGATGTATAATTGTGCAAACTGATCCAGGTGGCTTATGGCCTGGCCCAGGAACATCGCCAGATGATCAGGGTCACCGTCAAACATGACAGGAATAAGAGGGGTCCATGGGGGTTGGCCTGGCATGATGTTAGCATATCCGGCCGCAAGGCCCTGCTGCTCCACACCCCCTGTCAGTACAGGACCTCTCGCCGCATTCCTGGGACCAGCCGGCTGGGTTGGATGCGGCTGACCCGGCGGGCTACTCGAAGGGGGACCCCTGACGGCTGGCCTACCTGCTGGATGCAGCAACCGCAGCCGCGGACTGCTTAGGCGAAACCTGGACGACGGGGTGCGCCCTGCGGAGTCCTCTTCCGATTGCCACATATTGGAAGCGCCCCTATAGCTCTCTTCACCAAACCGGTGGCGCAATATCTCCATTGTCTCCTGGCCTGGAGCCGTGGAATAGCTCCAGTCCTCGTCATCCTCTGTAGTGACACGTCTCTCCCTCCATCCCGAATGGGCTTCGACTTGGGCGTCGGAAGCTGTTCGGTCTGCATTCCGGTCAACGCCGGGCTTTGCCACCACTCCTCCTGCGGCTTGGCAGCCCCTACCTCCCCCACGCCGAGTCCCGGGTTTGCAGGCAATAGCAGCTTTGGCCGCACCACAGGCTGCTCAGCTGCTGGCTCTGGCACCGGAATGGTCTCCGCAGCCCCGTCAGCCTCCACCTCCCCCTCGACCAGTGAAGCACCCTGTGTGCCTTCTGCCATACCTTCTTCCGCCACAGCGCACGGAAAGCTGAAGGAAGAAAAGTTTGGTGAGTGCTGACTTTCTTTCAGTGAATCCGCTGTCGTCCGTAGGTAAGATCAAGAGGAACGCCGGTACACGCTGAAACTCATCGACTGCTTTATTGTGTAGATGAGACAAAGTCAGCACTGGGAGTGGTTTTCTCCCAGTGCATTATATCTATTTGCCCCACCCTGTGCTCCCACCCCCAGTTCCAAACCAACATCCGTTCAAATTGAATATATGCCCCACCCTTTCCCTGTGCTTTCCCTTTCCCCGACGGAGCCCCGCCCCCGCGTCCCTCTGTTCGTGCGTCCGGTCCGCGCGTCAGTTGCCCGCCGCCAAATTCTCCCTGCCAAATGTCCTGCCTGTTGGGTGAATCTCCCCCACCCCTTGCACACGCTGGTTCGCCTGCAGAGGAGTCGTGTTCTTGTTCTGCGGTGACACGCCCGCCGTCATCCGACTCGCCGGCAACAGCTGACGCCCGGGGAATCCCGGGCTTGCCGGCAACACGTGGGCCTTGGGTGCTTCCGGACCCATTAACGGGCCGGTGCTCGTCGGCGTTTGCGCGTTGGCTCGTAGAGACGTGTCAAAGGTATAGGCCTGCCCGGTTCGGCCGTGAGTTGTGGCGGTGTGCGGCTCGGCAGCTTCCGGGGTTGGTGGGCTGTCGTCTGCTCTCCCCTGTCCCCGTTTGCATGGCAAGCCTTTGGGGGCTTGACACTGGTGCTGTTTGATATTGGTATGGGTAGAGATTAAGGATTTGGGATCATGGCATTTGACTGGCAGCCGGTGTTCGTGGATCCGTTTTTAATTGATGTGTTTGTCCCATGTAGAATTGGTTGCAATGATTACAGGTGATTTTGTAGATTGCAAAATCTTGTCTTTGGTTCTGAATAATTCCTGATGGAGTGTGGCTGTGGTTTTGTGGGCTATTGCTATTGCTAGGCGTTGGGGAATTCTGGCTGTCATTTCTGACCTGATGTAACCTCATCACAAATCTATCACAAGATTCACTGACGACTCACACCTGACCCATCGCAGACCCTCACTTGACATACCCATACCTGAAGCCCTTATAAACAGAAGAATGCTGACATCCCTAAACCAGTGGTGGCGAACCTATGGCATGCATGCCATAGGCGGCTCACAGAGCCCTATCTTTGGGCACACCCACTGTTGCCCCAGCCCCGCCTCCCCCCATGGCCCCCTCCTCACCAGCAGTCCCCTGGAGGAGAGTCGCCCCTGGGCGCGGCCTGCGCAGAGCAACACAGCCAAGGACATAGGAGGGGAGCAGGGACAAGACTCTGCCCTCGTGCCCTGTCGCATGTAGATGATGCTGCAGGGCACAGGCGGAGGGCATGACCACCATGGCACTGCAGGACTGTCTGGGAGATCTGCTGCGGCAGGCCATGGAGATGGTAGGTGCCCCTGTGGACAGGCGGGTAGGACGGGATGGAGTGGGGTGGTTTTTGGGCACTCAGTGTCTAAAACGTTTGCCATCACTGCCCTAAATTCTGCTGAAGATATTACTGAACCTGTTAACAAAACATTCAGAAATCAACCCACAAGCTTAGAACATTCACCCTCATCCTACATCCAAGCCACAGATATTCACCACTATTAAATTTCTATCTCCAATGCAAATTTCTCATTTCCCCAATTGGAATCATTTTCAACTGTAAAGTCACATGTCCTTTCTCCTGAAATCTTTACAATAACTAGATAAAGTGGACCGATGTTATTATATACCTACTGGATGAGAAAGGAGTCTGAGACATTGGCACCCTAAATATCATTGAACTTTGAATCTGATTTGAAGCTATGTTTTCACTTAAAAATAAGTGACCATGAGGATTCCCATGTAACAATATAATAAAAGGTAAAGCCTTCCATAAGTTAAATTTGATTCTTAATACCTATATATCCATATTACTTTACTGGCAACAAAAACTATGAAAGCGGTTTCTCACTGCCTTCCCCCCAGCTTCTTAGTCTAAACTTCAAATCAAACATTTCCTGGAACTAATCCAGATCTGCCTCTGACTTTTTTTTAAAAGATCAACCAACTGCCCACACTTGCCAAGACAATTAGTAAATTGTACAAGTTCCTTATTGTACTTCCTCAGGCAGTTGAAAATGTCTTAACGAATTATGATCATTCAGGGTTGGTTGAATGTCCCAGTCTTTATGCACACATGTACAGCATGTACATTAAAAATAATTTCAACAAGCAAACAGGGCTCAAAATATTTCTGTTACTTCAAAAACACTTTATCAAAAAGCAAAATGTAATTAACATCCACAAAGGTAATACATTTCAGTCCAATTAAAGGCAATGGCAAAAAAAATAAAGAGTAAGCAAAAACATGAAAGTAGAAACAACAAAATGGGGCAGAGGAAAATCTAATATCTGGCATGATTAAATGGTTTATATATACATTAGATATAAAGGTCATGATGATTGTGCTATTAATAATTTTCATGTGCAATTTCCCTTTTCCTCGTAATTGATGGCAATAAATGAAACCAACAGATTCTAATTCTGCCTTGCACACAAATGAAACAAATGTTCTGAAATATGAGGTCTGTAAAAACCATGAAATAAAATAATAGATTCTTTCTGAAACAAAGATAAGAAAAGATGCCAAGTCTCTTATGCATACTGGGGCTAGGCCTACATTCCTAGCATATCACAACTCCTGGTGAAGTAACTTGGGGGAAAAGAACCAGAAATAAATGTCAGTTATTTATTTCTATTAACTGATACCTAAACTTGAAAAAACTTTACAGAATCTGTAAAGCATCAGTTATGTTTCAATAGACAACAGACTAGCACCAGGGCTTTAAAATAGACCAAAAAACCATTGGATTTAATGATTTTTTTAAAAAAAAACAATTCAGATTTCAGCAGGACACCCTTCAACGGGAATGGATTAGGCCAAGGTTAGAACAAAGCTTAAATAAAGAAATTCACATTCAAAATGCACACAGTTTTTAGTCAATAGATTGTTTCTTTTTCTTTTAATTAAAGTGCAATTTTAAAAAGAAAAGTATGAAGAGGAGACGGTTCGCAGAAGGACAGAGGCTTTTAGGTAGAAATCTTTCGTAAAAAGATTTCTTCTCCCAGTCTCCAAATGCTGTAAGACTGGTGGTTTCATTTATTTTCCAAGATATATTAAAAGCTCTGCACAGAAGCATCACTCGACTCCTACCCTTAACAGTTCTTTTTAATTGCTCTATCTGAAAGATTTTTTCCAGGGTATCTTTCTCTCTCTCTCGAACGGAAATGACTCGTCAGTCACCCATAATGCTGCTCCGAGCCTTTTTCTTTTAAATAAAGGAGGAAGGGGGAAAAAAAATAACGTGGTTCGCCCGTCTGAAAGTCTAGTGAAACCACCACCCTCAGTGCTCGCGGGAGACGAGGCCCACTTGCGCATTAGGAGCAGGAATATTCCTCTCCCGCTACGCGGCTTTCTCCTCAAGGCAAGGTTGCCCAGGGCAAGGCAACGTCGTATATGTAGGGGTATGGGTCTATACATATGTTGTATATAGTATGTTTAGGTGTGTGTCATGTATGTTTCACTTTGAGAGCGGGCAACTAAATTTCATTTTTGATATGTGCCGTTGTGCCCACAGTAAAAAAAAAAATCACAATAAAGGTTATCTTATCTCGCGCCAGCTTTGCTTCTCTGACGTCCGTCTTCCATGTGGCTGGAGAAAAAAGGCCCGGCACGCTAAGCCTCTTTTCGAGCCGTCAGCCCCGTCAGCCCCCAGGCTTTCTCGTGTTTCGACTCGTGTCTAGAGCGAGGTGGGGAAGAGGCCTTTTCTTCCCCACACAACCTACCTGTAAAGGCGACCGATGCCTTTCTCTCCCTCAGCCAAGAATCCAAACCGCGATGCCTCAGCTGCGTCTCTACCTTGCGCTTTTTTTCTTGAGGCTCCTGTAAGATACCTCGCTCGGGCGCCAGGAGCTCCTGTTGGGTGGGTTTTACTGGACGCGCTGAAGCGAAACGCGGGTAAATATTTTCTCAGTCGTCACCACACTCTGATGTAAGGATCCACGGCTACATTAAAATCTTTCCAGGAAAAGCGTGGCAGATCGCGCTATTGAATGAATGAATGGTCGGCGGCAATTTCATGCGGCGGCACAGCGATCGGCATCCCCTCCTCCCCTTTCTCGACGTCAACCTACGTAGGTGCTCAGCAGAACCAGTAAAGCGATTCATTGACAACTGCACCTGGCTAGCCCAGTTGCCATCCGATGCGTGGCCATGATTTCCGAATTTATTATTTTGTTTGTTTACGTCTAGGGAGCGCTTGCTCGCTCAGTCGGTCGCTTTTCCTCGCGGCTGCTTCCTCCCCGCTTCCTCCAGGACGACTATTCTGCCCGAAATGAATAGGAGGGATTCTGGGCATCTATAGCCGCCGCATCCGCCGGATCAGTTAGGAAGAAAGGCGCCATGACACTGACCCGCAGTCTTGCTTTTCCCCCGGCATTAATGAACAGTCGGCGCGATGATCCAGCTGAGAACAGCTAAAGGGCCTCTTCCTCTCGTTTGGTGGATATAGGAATGGTGTTGATTCCAGGCAGCGTTCACGGGTTCTCTGGTCGGCAGTTAATTGCTTAAAAGGGTTGTTTGGGATCAGGAGGATAACTTGCTGCTCTAAGAGTCTAGGGTTCCAGGTGGGTTGGGAGTACCAACCCTAAAAACTGCTGGCTAGGGACAAAAGCAGTTATAATCCGGCTTCATATGGCAAGACTCTGGGAAATGCTACTGAAATGGCAACACTTGCTGTCCTTTTTTGTTAAAGAAGGGGGGGGAGGAGAAGCATTTTTTTTACAGGCACAGCTATAGGGTTACTTGCAACTTTTTTTTATTAGATTATGCCTATCTGAAATCTGCAGTGATAGGCCTTAGAGAATCGGCTGTTTGTAGATTTTGCTGCTCTGAATGAATCCATGATGAAGGAAATAAAAGTTATTCTTTTATATAAAATGTAAAAATAAAGCCCCAGTGTAACAATATATGAGACTGTCTATTTAACACAAATGTAATACTGTAACGCAAATGTAGCAATTCACTGCCAAATGCGTGAGAAGGTTTGTTTAATGTTTACTGCCTAAAATTCCTCCGGAGACAGGAACTTTAAGTGGAATATCAAAAAAGGGGATTTTGACCCAAGGTGAAAATTACAAATAAACAAGATAACAGCAGATGGATGGAAGAGTTCAGGATGACCTCTTAAGTGTAAAAACAATTTCAAAGAATGACAGAGCTTCTTAGATGTGATGTGCATTGTAAAAAGTATAAAATGCAAAGCTTGGAAACTGTTGCGCTCCTGGAACCCAATCCGTTGGGAAGGATCCAGGAGGCCGCATTTGCAAATGCCTTCTCTTTTCTTCTCTTTTTATTTTTTTTTATGTTATTTGTTTTGTTAACCAGACTTGTCTTCGTATTGTGAGTATCAAAATTTGGGGGTTTTACATCTCACAATGATGATAGAGATATCTCTGTAAAATCCATGGCTCCCTTGCTTTTTAGCTAAATCATGATTTTCTTGTAGGAGCAAAGCAATCACATAAAGGAATACCTAAGATGGTTAACATTTCCTCTTCTTGCCATAATTGAAATTTTGTATGCTAGTCCAAGCAAAGCATTGAGATAAACTGGTGACATTTCAATATATTTAGTGAGATACTTCCTTATATACTAGTTGTGTAATATTTGCCAAATAGCATCTAGGACATTCTATTCACATTTTCCTCTACCAGTTTTAAAGTATATTTACTGGAAGGAGGTCCCTCGGCTTTCTTGAAATTGTAGCAATGACTGGCCACAGCTGTATGTCACCAGACAAAACTTTCAGACTCTCATCTGGTAGGAAATTGTGGCAATATTTATATGAACATTTACCTCCTGAACTCAGTGAAGCATGCAGTATCTAAACAGAACTGAGACTATTTAAAATATGGAACAAACCTGTTGTAATTTTTTGCAACATTGCATCATCTTTCTAAGCTTTAAATCCAAAGAAATAATTTTTCCTTTTTCTTGAGCAAAAAATCACATAAGAACACCTTGCACTTTTAAGAAAGAATGATTAATTTATTTGAAAAAGAATAGTTTCTCTTAGTGCAGCTGTACTTAATCTAAAGCAGTGCTTTTCAACCTATGGTATGCTTACCACTGGTGGTATTTCAGCATCTGACAGGTGGTACATGTATGACAGGTTGAAAAGCACTGTTAAAAAGGGGGTAAAAGTGGATGAGTTGAAGTGGCAGCAGCACCAGAGAGGCCTGGGAGAGAGTCAGCTGGAGCTGTGATGTTGCCAGGGCTCTGCTGAGAGCCCAGGATCAGCATGTGTGGCTCCGGCTGATCTGCACCTTCAGTGGCCTTGGGGGTGGCTGACAGCCACACACAGTCTTTGGGTAGAGATTCAGCTGGAGCTGCGGTGTTGCCGGGGCTCTGCTGAGAGCCCAGGATCAGCACGCACCCAGAAGAAAAAAGGAGAAGGGGGGAGAGGAGAAGGAGAAGGAGGAGTAAAACAGGTACTTCTTTCTTTTTTATGGTTTGTAACATTTTATTAGATTATAGAATAAAATACAAAAATACAGAAGCAAATAGTAAGGTCATAGTGGGGAGGAAAAGGGGAAAGAAAAGTGAGGGGAAAAATGATAAGGGAAAAAGAAAAGAAAAGGCATTGATTTCCGACTTCCTCTGTTGCAGTAGAACAGTGGTTCTCAACCTGTGGGTTGGAACCCCATTTGGGGTCGAACGACCATTTCACGGGGGTCGCCAAACAATGCAGTCCGCCATTTTTATTCCCCTTTTCCTTAGCTGTGCTACTCCCTTTTATTCTATTGGCTTTTGAAAGCCAATAGAATAGACTCTCTTGAATAGAATCTAATTCTATTGGCTTTCAAAAGCCAATAGGAATTGTCCAAGCTGTCTCTGCCCTGCTGAGCCTGCCAAAAGTCCCATTCTGCAAACGGTGCTGCACCAGTTGAGTAGTCCTTGACTTACGACTGATTGAGTAGTCCTCGACTTACGACCAGTTGGGGGTCGCGGCATTAAAAAGGTTGAGAACCACTGCAGTAGAATGAAGCATTAACATTGAACCTCAACTTTTTACTTTTCCGTAGTAGTATCAGCTAGCCATTTCTATATCAACTAATCAATCTAATCAATAAAACCCAAAATTCCCCCCATTTTTTTTCATCGTCACATTTTGACACCTTGCTAAGCCCTGGTGGTACTCAAATATTGTCATGTCCTAAAAGTGGTACGATCTGTGAAAAAATTGAAAAGTCCTCATCTAGGGGATCAAACACAATGATGCAAGAGATAAAGAAGAATTGGATTGGGTGATTAAAGAATGCCTTTGTCTATGTTGCTATTCTGTCAAAAAGAGAGAAAAGAAGATGAACAATTTCTTTGAGTTGTTATCAAGTTTACCTTGGATTGAACAAGATACCATATCCAAAAGAAGCTGATGAATCTCCTTCATTTTAAAGTGCTGGTTATGGCATCTATGTGGATTCAGATTATTGTAAGAACTGCCCCCTCTTATTCCATTATGAACCAACTTGAGTAGAAGACTTACCATTGCAGGCCCTAAACCTTGTTGCATTCTTACATCAGAATAGTGAACTTGCACAAGGGACAGTTTATTTCTTCATAGCTCTACTGGTTCAAACAAACTTTGTATAGAATAGATCATGACAATAATTGTGTAATAAGGTGGACAATATATGCTTTAGTAAACAAAAATGTCACATCTTTTGACAGCATAAAATGTTATATAACGTGAAAAGTTTGAATTCATCCATTATGTATAAAAAGGCTTTTGGAATAAGCTATTCATTTTAATGATATAAGAGGAATTATTAACATTCTTTTGATTGTATGGAGAAAACAGCCCACAAAAGTTCCAATGTCATCACTGTACAGATGCACTGGAGTTGGTGTTAGAGATGTGAACAGATAAGCATGTTCCTTAAACAAATTTTGATCATAAATCATTTTACCATATCAATATTTTTATCTTATATACCAATTCTTGCCTTCTTTCTCAATCATCATCATCATCATCATCATCATCATAATAGTAAAATTGGAAGGGACCTTGGAGGTCATCTAGTCCAACCCCCTGCTCAGACAGGAAACCCTACACCATTTCGGACAAATGGCTGTCCAGTCTCTTCTTAAAAACTTCCAGTGTTGGAGCATTTACTGCTTCTGGAGGCAAGCTGTTCCACTGATTAATTGTTCTCACTGTCAGGAAGTTTCTCCTTAGTTCTAGGTTGCTTCTCTCCTTGATTAGTTTCCACCCGTTGCTTCTTGTCCTGCCTTCAGGTGCTTTGGAAAATAGCTTAATTCCCTCTTCTTTATGGCAGCCCCTGAGATATTGGAATACTGCTATCATGTCCCCCCTTGTCCTTCTCTTCGTTAAACTAGACATACCCAATTCTAGCAACCGTTCCTTATATGTTTTAGCCTCCAGTCCCCTAATCATCTTTGTTGCTCTTCTCTGTACTCTTTCTAGAGTCTCAACATCTTTTTTACATCGTGGTGACCAAAACTGGATGCAGTATTCCAAGTGTGGCCTTACCAAGGCATTGAAGAGTGGTATTAATACTTCACGTGATCTTGATTCTATCCCTCTGTTAATGCAGCCTAGCACTGTGTTGGCCTTTTTGGCAGCTGCAGCACACTGCTGGCTCATATTTAAGTGATTGTCTACTAGGACTCCGAGGTCCCTCTCACAGTTACTACTATTGAGCATGGTGCCACCTATGCTGTACTTGTGCATTTGGTTTTTCTTGCCTAAATGTAGAACCTTGCTTTTTTCACCATTGAATTTCATTTTGTTAGTTAGTGCCCAGTGTTCAAGTCTGTCCAGATCCTTCTGTATCTTAAGCCTGTCTTCTGGAGTGTTGGCTATTCCTGCCAGCTTGGTGTCATCTGCAAATTTGATGAGTTCCCCATCTATCCCTTCATCCAAATCGTTGATGAAGATGTTGAAGAGTACTGGGCCCAGAACAGAGCCCTGGGGCACCCCACTACACACTTCCCTCCATATAGATGAAGTTCCATTGAGGACCACTCGCTGAGTACGGCCTGGTCAGCCAGCTACGGATCTATCTGGTGGTGGTTCTGTCTACCCCACATTTTTCTATCTTGTCAAGTAGTAGGTTGTGATCTACTTTATCAAATGCCTTACTGAAGTCCAAGTAAATTATGTCCACAGCATTCCTCTGATCCACTAATTTTGTCACTTGGTCAAAGAATGCAATAAGATTTGTCTGGCA